TGCGGTGGCCGGGAGCGGCCACTGCTCTCCAGTCTGGGTGACAGATTGAGACTCCAGCTCAAAAAAAAAAAGAAAAAAGAAACAAACATTTTTAGAGCCAGGCATGGTGGCTTGAGCCTGAAGTCCCAACACTCAGGGAGGCTAAAACGGGAGGATTGCTTGAGGCCAGGAGTTGGAGGCCAGCCTGGGCAACATCAACATGTGAGACATATCTCCACAAAAGGGTTACAAAATTAGCTGGGCTTGGAAGGATCGCCTGATCCCAGGGGTCAAGGCTGCAGTGAACTATGATCACACCACTGTACTCCAGCCTGGGTGACAAAGTGAAATGCTCTTTCTAAAAAATAATAATAATAAATAAAAATTATTGTGCTTCTGCCTCTTATGTGTATTGTTTCTTTTAATACTCACAGCCAGTCTAGGAAGTGGAGATTATTTTGAGGCTGGTTGTACAGATGAAGAAACTGAGGTTCCAAGGGGTAAGTGCTGGGATCCTAATTCCACCTGCTGCAGAGAGCAGCCAGAGTGAGTCTTGTGACATCGGGAGAGGGGTGGTGAGGATGGATCCACTGGGGCTTCAGCTAGGGCCAGTCCGGGACCTGAGCTCCAGGGTTGAATTGCTGGTGACACTTCCTGATCCTGGCTGGGCCAGGATGGCTCACAACTGAGCAGCGGCCAGGCCAAGCCTTCTGATCCTGGAAGGTGGAGTGGGTGTTGGCTTCAGGTGGGTTTGCCAAGCCTTGATCACCGAGCCCAGGATGGGGAGTTGTGACCCTGGGGACTTCCTCTTTCTCCCAGAGCCTCCGGGCCCTGCCAAGGAAGGACTGTCCCTCCCCATCTTCCCAGCCGTGTGAGGGTTTCCTCACACGGAAACCCTGCAGTGCTCTGAGGAAGGCCCTCCCTTGGGGACCCAAGTTTTGGGGGGCATACCTCGGAAGACCCTGACCCATGGCACAGTCAGGCAAGGGGATCTGGGCTGCTTTTTTTTTAAGTTGGAGTCTCACTCTGTCGCCCAGGCTGAAGTGCAGTGGCATGCTCACAGCCACCACAGCCTCGACCTGCGGGGCTCAGGCAATCCTTCCGCTTCAGCCTTCCAAGTAGCTGGAACCATAGGCGTGTACCACCACGCCTGACTAATTTTTTTATTTATTGTAGAGATGAGGTCTCACCATGTTGCCGAGGCTGGTCTCAAGCCCCTGGGCTCAGGCCTCTGCCTCCCAAAGTGCTGGAATGACAGGTGTGAGCCACTGCGCCTGGATCTTTTTTTTTTTAAGCAATAAGAACCTGTTTTGTTTTTTCCAAACACAGATACAGACGTTTGTATGTTTTGCAAAGATTGCTCCAAAACATTTCTATCTATACAGAGCGCCTTCTGAGTCAACAGCACATAAACACAGACCTTATCTGCAGTGCTGTGCTGGCTCATCTGGGATCCACCTTCCTTACACTTAAGAAATAAAATTGTTAGTCAAACCAGAATGGTGTTTGTCAAGGTCATTTTATTTTTTATTTCTTTGAGTCAGGATCTCACTGTTATCCAGGCTGGAGGGCAGTAGTATGATCACTCCCGGTGCTTGCCAACATGCCTGGCAAATTTTTTTTTTTTTTTTTTTTTT